TTGAAATCCTGAAAGGGTCCTACAATTTCGTGGCTACACATTTCTTTCAGGAATTATTGATTTCCTGGCTGAATCTTGATTTGAAAATCAATGTCAAACTTGTCAAGATCCTTAGAAACCTTGATTGGAATCCTGTCCGGATCCTGCAATTCCCTGGCTACACACTTGTTACAGGATTTATCGATTTCCTAGTCTAATCTTAATTCAAAAATAATGGTAAACCTATCAAGATCCTTGATAATCTTGTTGTGAATCCTGACAAGATCTTGGAATTCCCTGTCTACACACTTCTTTCAGGATTTGCCGTTTCCTCAGGAAAAAACGTTGAATCCTTGCAGGATCCTTGTCAGGTCTGCAAAGAGTCTGGCTCTGAAATATCAAAGATTTTCCCTAGGGATCCTGAAGGATGGGGGTGTGGGTATGGGCGTGGATTTGAGGTCTGAGTGTGGGGTGTTGATGTAGGTATGGGGCATGTGAGGTGTTCGTATGATATGTACGGGTACACTCTAAAAAAATCCGTTTCCTACAAAACCCAAACCCTCTCGGATACCCTCGCGCGAACCCTTTTGAGTTTCCGGAAGGGTTTCCGGTCTCCGTCATGGGTTTCAATAATATCTTGTTGGTTTCCGAGCATCCGGAAACTCTTTGGTTTTAGAGAACACCAATTCGGAAACCAAAAAAATATTGTCGGATACTTTTATAGTACTGTCGGATACCCGAAAGGTATATTAGGAAACCCATATTAAAAATAAAATCAACTTTTTACCTCACATGGTTTCCCAGAATACTTTTTTGATTTCCGATAAATAACTTCGGAAACCAAAAGGGTTTTTGAAGCTTCTAAACCTATAAAAAGTATAATTAGAAACTTAGCTTGGTTTCCGAAGTATTTTTCGAAAACCAAAAGAGTATTCGAATTTTCTCAAACTCGGAAAAGTATAGTGGGAAACCCAAATGGGTTTTCGAATTTTTTGAGACTTTGGAAAATTTCGGAAATTACAAAAATCTTCGGAAAGCTTTTTTTCTTCATTTATATTCGAGTCAAAAGCCTTTTCTGAAAAAAACGTTGGCTGTTTAGTACAAAGCGTTTATCTAGCGATAACTATATCTAAAACATCGGTATATTTTTAAACACAGTCATTCCATCCCCTCAAAAAAATGTAGCGTCAGATCTATCTTGTTCATTCAATTGGGATTAGTGATAATGCTCAAAAAAAGTGGCCTTCACACAGTTCAAACAATTGAGTCAGTAGCATTAGCTTAACAATTTGTATTTTCTCCTTGTTTTCTTGATAAAATTTCAATACAAGCGCCGAGTAAATTTGAGAATTATGACCCAAGAAGTCATAGAGAGCTAGAGCATTAGAAACATTTGTCACTGAAAACATATTTTTGTTCATTGATCTACAAGAACAGAACATCGATGAGTCTATATGTGTACATGTGTACAGATGGAGTTGTTATGTGAAAAAATGAAAAGCGTGTGTTCGTAACTAAGCTCGGCACTTTTATAATGAGTATCCTAATAAAGACATCAGTCTCTGTACTTTTTTCTATATAAATATCCACAAGCGAACAAAATAGAATGATTGCTAATGAAACATTCAATTATTTTTATGTTGAAGATGATGCAAATGGACTGGTAGGTAAATTTGAAGAATAATCGTATTAAGATTATAATAATTTTAGAATACAGAATCCATGGCAAGAATCTAATATTTATAAATAGATAAGAGAGACAACATTGCGATGAAGAAAAAATAATCAAAATGAAGCCTAATTGTTCGCAAGACAAGTCTGGAAGAAAAACTAAAAGAATATCTGACAGCTCAAATGTCATAAGGAAATATGACAAAAAAAGGTAGTCAAGAAAGAAAGCAATCAGAAAGAGGTGTATGTTTTTATTCTTTGAGATGTCACTGATTCAAGGTACAAAACCTAATGAAATTCAACAAATGAAAGAAAAAGCTGAAACAATTAAAAGAGATTTTCAAAATAAATCAATTGATGGATAACATTTTCAACGGTTATGGCTTGAAACTTTTGATTATCGACAAAATATTATGAAGCAAAACATAATTTTAGATATTATGGAAAGGTTTCCTGTTTATTCAAACCCATATATAGTAAGAGAAAATTATAATTTCAGTCTTAAACTTCATTTTTAGATTTTGACAGATATTGAATCATTAACAGATGTAAATTTGTAAATTCCATCAAAGAAAAAATTCATTTACTTTCAAATAAAATTTGTTCCGGCGGTAAATGCTTAACAGGTATAGAAAAAAATTGTATTTTACTAAAAGTTCATTTTATTTATTAGATAATCCAGTTGTTTATTTTTTCAAAATATTATGTAGTATTCTAAATAACTCGTGGAAACATTATGCTTGCTGTTATCCTGAAGTAAGTCATCTGCATATTTTGTAAATTTGCTTAGATAGCACAAATAGAAAGCACTACAGGAGTTAGTGAAATTTGGTCTCGTATTTGAGTCATTTAGGCAGTCGCCTTGGCTTGATTACGAGAAATCGTTTATTAATCAAGTTCTTCCTGAATCTCTCTATTTTCTTGTCCTCTCTGAAGATGTGAAACGTCTGTGTTCTTTTTCTTCCTTCATGCGTTAATGTAAAACTATGGTGTATTTATATACTCTTTTCTTTTTTTTTTCTCTGTACTGTTCTTAAACTAGCACACCTCTCGTTCTTCTTATCTATCTTTTTACTTGTGAACCAACATATTATATGGCACAATAAATATCAATGTTAAAAAAAACAAAAAAACAAAAAGAAATCGTTTATGAATTTAGTTTTTCCTTAGTTCTGACTACTACCAGTTTTCTATTAAAACTTTGATTCTTCATTTTCTACACTCAAAAGTGATAATATTATTTGACCATCTGTACCATTCATCGAATTAGATAGCATAATTACCATACAGAAACAACATACGTGTTCCTATAAATTTCATTTCCTATCCAAAGTATTGGAACATAAAAAGTTCCTTATGTTTCACTTTGACATCATAACATATTTCACGATATAAAGAAGTTCGTATTACTTTTATTCTCTCTAAAACTTGTGCTTTTTTATTTACCGCGATTGATCTTCTGATTTCTTTTGAGAAGCTACTCCCCAACCAATAATGATAATTGAGGAAAATAATAGAAAAATCTACATGGATTAGACCTCCGTTTGCTGATCGAATTCTATGGAACAATCTTTAGCTCTAGCTATTGGTGTATATTGTTTCAAGAATCTCATGTTTTCAACATATCGTCCTTCAATTAGATTTTTATGTTCATTTCATGAATGATAGGCGACGATAGTCAAATCTCATTTGAAAATTTTGTAAAGTATACAACTTTCAACTTCAAGGTAATCTTTCAGCATCATCATCTGCTTCATTACTGAAAGAAAAACTTAATGATACGTATTTAAGTGATAGACATGAAAATAGTGAAGAACAACATGTATCTTTAGCACTCCAAATGACAACGTCAATTCAACCAACATCGATGAAATCAACATCGGCTAAATTCAAAGGAATCTAACCAACAATAAGAAAACCAGCAACATTCCAACAACGGTCAAATCATAAAGGTAAATCAGAAGAAAAACATAATTATGAGCTAATGTCTCTATAGAGTGACTCATCGAAACAAATAACAACGGCACAGCTCCGACAAAAACGACCCTCTGCCAATAAGAACGCATTCCCAACGGCAACAAAAATTGTTTTACGCATTTCTCTATTTTCTGTCTCATAGAAAATGGACTAGCGGTTTTTATTTTTCTTGTGAAAGAAGGAATTTACTTATTTATTCCTATGAGTTTTGTTTTAAAGTATTCATTTATCTAGAGAGTTCGTTCCCATCAAATGCGAGATATTTAAGCCACCGAGATTTGTTCTCTTGCATATTACTCAATATTTTCGGAGATTTTTCATCGCCATAATAAATTTTCGTTCCTCAATAAGAAACACTTGTAAATTTTACTTCCAGCGAACCCGAAATTTCGATAGTTAAAATAGATATTTCAAAAGCATTTTCACTCAAAACAGAATAGTGAAACACAAAATAATACATAGTTCGACGAAGTATATACGTTAAGAGGATGTGCTTTTTTTGCAGATTATCGAATATTTATTGTTTTGTCTTTTAGGTTGATTAAAATCGAAGTTCAACTGCAAATCTTCAAATATTTTGATATATGTATATTTTATGCATGCCGGTGGATTACGATTGAACAATGGAACTGTAAGCATATATATAAACAATGTATAATATTTTATTTCTATAAGTGCTCGGAGATTTAAGTCTAACCTTTTCGCGAATATTCTATACATAAATTTTATTTATTTAGGTTGGTCAAATTCGAGATGTGAACGTAAAGCTTTATACAGTTTGCTATCGATCTATTTTACTTATGTAGGTGAGCCTAAATCGAGATTGAACTGTAAGCTTTTTCTTTATATTTTGGAATATGTATATCTTTTTTATGTAGACAGGTCAAATTGGAAATGTACATTTAAATCTTCAAACAATGCGGTGCACTTATGTGTGTTTATTTATACGTGAAGCGACATTCAAATGTAAGTTCTTTTTCTGATTACTGACCATTTCAATTTTATTTACTTAGGTGGACCGTGTTTACACTTGCATTTTTTTCCTATTACTGTGTGTAGGAATACTTTATTTAACCCGATGCAAATTGAAATTGAGTTATAGGTCTATACAGGTTGCCGAATATTGACGTTTTATTTATTTAGATGGATCAGAATCAGAGTTGAACTGTGTGTCTTTATATTTCTCGGTCCAAGTGTATTTTATTTATTTACGTGGATCGCAATCGAAATTCTAGGGTAAGTTTTTTCTTCGTAGTATCTTATAGAGGCGTTTTACTTATTTAGATCGAAGAGATTGACATTTATGTTGCTCTATAGATTATGGCATATCTAAATTTCTCTTATTTGGGCTGATCGAGATCGAAATTGAACTCGAAATGATTACAGCTTTTGGTATATTTAGATGTTATCCATATGGATGCATCAATATCGAAATTGAACGATGAGTTTTTTCTTCACATTATCTTATTTGGGTATATTATTTACTTAGGACGGTCAGCATTCGCGCGCAGTTTTTCTTCGGATTATGACATGTTTAAATTTTATGTATTTACACTAATCTAAATCAATGTTGAAGAGTAAGTATTTACTTTACATTAGCTTATGATATTTTATTTATTTAGATCAATCAACATCGAATTTCAACGAAAAGGTTTTTCTTCGCATCATTTTATATTTATATTTCATATATTCGGATGGATTCAAATTGAAATACAAATTGATTTTCACGTTATGCTATATTCAATTTTCTTCTATTTAGCTGATCAATATCCCCATTAAACGGTAAGCGTCTTTTTTCCACCTTATCTTATATTGGCATTTTATTTATTTAGATCGATTAGGATTGACGTACAGATTTTCTTTACATTATAGAACATTTAAATTTTATTTATTTAGGTCACTTGGGATCGATCCTCAACGGTAAGTTCTTTTTACATTATCTTGTATTTAGATCTTATTTATTCAGATGGATCCAGATTGAAGTGCAAGTTATTTTCCAGATTATAATACGTTTAAATATTATTTATTTAGGTTGATCAAGATTCAAGTGAAACGGTAAGTTTTTTCCTCGAATTATCTTATATATCTATTTTATATAGATCCATCGAGATTTCAGTGCACGTTCTCTTTCAGATTACCGAAAACTTATCTTTTTGTTTGCTTTACCCATGAAAAAAAAATTGGTATAAAAATGCGTTTCAACGCAAACTTTTAGAAAAAAACGCTACTTTTTCGTTTCAACGTATCCTTTTGTAAGTTCAACGCGTTTAAACGCATTGATTTCTTTTCCGAACGCATTTAAATGCATTCTTTTCATTATGAACGCGTTTTTCCAAGCTAAAACGCAACTTAAAAACACTGTGTGAATGCGTTTAGTTTTATGCGTTTGAACGGGTTTGTTTGTTATGCATTAAACTGCATTTTTTAAGCCTTCTTTTGTCGAAAAACGATTTTTTTTTAAACGCGTTACAACATTGTTCTTTTTAATGCGTTTTTTATCCAAAAGACGGATAGTTTAGAAAAGTATTTGAACGAATGTTTGTATCTAAGTGTTTCCAGTAAAGATGTGCTTCTAGAGAATAGAGATTTGCTTTAATTAGAGTAAACGTTAGGTGATATCAATGTGAACATAAAAAAGTTAAAAGGTACTACTCTTCATAACAACTCTTTGTAATAGAGTAAGATAAAAAAATAGTCGAATAACCCAGAAAAAAAACAGCATGTATTTAATAAAAAAAACTAACAATTGAAGATAAGTAGTAACATGTTTTCTAACTAGACTCAGTCAACGTTGGATACCGAATAAAAATAAATTTTGTTTCGAATTGATAGTAGCATACTTTTTCAATAACATCATCTACATTTATATGAATATGATGATCAAAATCAATTGTCCCAAATTCAACATTATCGCACAAAATTTTTTGTTTGTTAAAATTCAATAATATCTCATCTTTTCTGTTATTATGTAAAGGATAAATTTGCAACAATACGTTATTTGATGTTGTTATTAATATAATTTTATTGATGAGACCAAAACAATGTATGTTTTCACGTCTATAAAGAACAGCACAATCTTGAAATTGTTTCGATTTTGAATAATGTAAGGTTGTAAATGTAACACCTTTTATATTGCATTTATTATATAATGATAATTCTTTGCCAAATTTCAAGAACAGCTCATGCTTGTCGTTCTTATGAATAATGGATGTTGGTTTCTGTAATTGATAACTATTTGATGTTACTGATAGTTTTGTTTTATAACCTTGAATTTGTGATATTAATGGATATAATGATGAGGACATACAATACGTATCACCTAAAAATGCCGAATTTTTAATTAATTCTATGTTATTTTCGATTTCACGTGGTAAATGTTTTGTTCCATTAATTGTTGCTGCAAGATGACCTAATATAAGAAGAATAGTGAAGTTATTTATTAGCTGCAAACTAAGATTACCAATCAATGATTCATAGTTAAACGTGCTATAGTTTGTTAGTGGTCCATAATATTTGACTGTTTGATGAAAATGTACGACTGAATGAACTGTATTAACAGCATGACGTTTACCATACAAAAAATGAAATGTAAAAACAAATTTGTCTAACAGAATTTTCACTTCATTCAGTTTCGACGAAGTAATTTCTCTTGATTCACCAATGTGTAATGCAAATGACAACAGTTGCAAATGTTTATAATATATTGGTTTTAAATAATTTTTAAATATCGGATATGTTATTAATAAAAGTACTCGTAATTCATTTGCTTTTAATCGATGATATTTCATAATTGTTCGCGGCATCCTCGTTGTTGTTGATGGAAAACGAAATTGTTGCAATTCAGTTTCAATATGATTTAAATGTTGGCGAATGGACCACTGTTGGGTCCGATATTTCGAATGAAACCAAAATTTAAGAAGTCTTTTCTAAAAAAGATTCAGATAAAACATAAATCAAGAGATGAACTTCTAAAAGGATATTCAGTTGACATAAAGATAATTTAATGATTGTATTCTACTTATAATACAACTCTTGATGGAAGATGAGTACTTACAAATGCACCATGGTAGATTGTATGTAATGTGTCCATCAAGAATGAATGTCCATGATCAAAGTAAGATAGTTCTGTTAAAAGACATTTTCCAAGATAACCTAATTGTAAATTTGATTTTTCTTCACTTGTTACAGGATAATCATGATGCTGTACTTTCGCTAATTGACCAAGAATTAGTTCACATCTTACTGTGGAACGCAACTTTATTTGATCATCTTCACTTGTAGGAAAAACACGAATTTTATGTGTATCTATTCTTTTTTTTTTATTTGTTGAGGATGTTTTATTATGTGATATTTGTTCATCTGAATTTGACAGTACAGTTTCCCCTAAAATGAAACCAAATGTAATTGAATATGAGCATCTTTCATCAAATATTAACAACATGTCTACCGGGTATTTCGCATGTAGTACAACCAAATTTCGCAATGGGCTCAGGCGCATTTTGAACTAAACTATTAGCGGGTTTATCATTACAAACACCAATTAAATATGTCCGAATCAATTTATACTCATTATGATATGCCTTCATTTGAAATAGATGATGTTTTTCTAATTGTATTAATTGTTCAACAATTGGTTTTAATAAAAGTCCCATTATTGTACGTGTAGGTTTTTTAAAACACGAACAAATTCCAGCAATAATAGCATTATGAACTTTAAATCGTTCTTGTCTTTTTATTTCATTAATTGTACAGGTTATTATCCATAATGATTCTTGAGTAGCATTTCCGATGGCAATACCATCAATGTTCATCATTAACGTTATTATAAAATTTATTTCGTTTGTTTCAACTTTTCCTAACAACGAACGATAAACTTCACCATCATAAACATCACGCATAGAATTAATACATGGTTCATTATTAGATGTAAAGTAGTTAATATGTTCTTCATTATAAAATATTTGTTGTAATTGGTGATGAATATCAAGACAAATATAATTATAAGGATTAATTTCATATTTTATGTGATTGTCGCAATCAGCATGTGAACAAGATACTTTTGATAACGAAACACGTTCACATTTTTGACAAATAATCATCGATGAGATGACGCGTGTCGAAGATGTCGTAGTTGTTGTTGATTTACTTGTTGTATTAATCAATTTACAAACACGATAAATTGATGATGGTACATTCTTTACTTTTAATGAAATAAGTAATTTTCTAATGTCATTTAAACATTCTAATGTTAAATTATGTTTCGTTTTCAAGGTTAATAAACAAACAGAGATATCAATCTCATCATGTTCTCGCTGGAATTGATAATGCAAACTATCATTTATAGAATAAAAATAAAAAATGTCTCGCTCAAGAATTTTTTTTGTAATAAGGTAAGTGTAACCATACTCTTGTTCATTATCATATTTATCTTTTTGAAAAATTGTATCTGTTTCAGTTTGATCTATAACTTCTTCATCTGAAATTTCTTCTTCATCTGTTGAAAACATAAATTCTGTCGCTTCATTATTAATTTCTTCACTTGAAGCAAATTTATTTTTTTCAAAATCATAGAGTGTTTCATTGATAACTGTATCATAAAAAGTATTATCATGATCAAATTGAAGAGAACATTGATCTTTGTCATTAGTCTTATAAAAATCTTCTACATTCATTTGACCATGATCTTGAAATCTCTGTTCATTTAAAGAGCTAATGTTACTTTCCGAATCAAGTTGATTTCTAAATAACAAAAAACACAAAGATAAGAGTCATGCATAATATGCCAATAAATTAGGGAAAAACCTACTGTTGACTCCTCAACTCTCGATATTTTTCCTTTTTTTTTTATTAATTTGTTGACGGTTTTTATGATACCACTTTAATTTGGTTAAGTTTCTTGAAGACATCTAAATGAGAAAAAATCGTTTTTGCTATTGTTAGCACTGGTTATGCAGTTTATTGTTAAAAATATGAAAAAGTGTGTGTATTTATATGTAGATAGAATCGTGTCATATGTTGAACAATAGTACAAAGAGCGATAGTTACGCCAGACGTTGAGCCATAGTATTAACAACGATGATCACGCCAAATGTAGAAAAGTAGACTATTGGAAGATAATACGATCATCAAGGGTCACCTCGATAATAACTATCATGACAAATAATTGTGCACTTTATGATAATTCAATTGCTAAATTCATAGATCAAAGCATCAACCGTTAAACATGTTTATACTTGACTCGTCATAGACACTAATTTTTCTTTTTTATTGATCTTTATAGTTTCCATATGATCATTATTCTTATAGTAGATAGTTTCTCTTTCTTCTAGGAGGAAACTGATCCTTTTAAAGAAAGACAACACACACTAAATAACCTGGTCAACATATCTATTTATTTCATCCCAACTGTTTTCGTTTATTTTCTTCAATTATGAATAAGTATATTAGCACCGAATATATACAAGAGTTATTACAAAAATGTTATTTTGAAAAAAAATATAAAAAACAACAACACATTAATTAGATATTTCAACAATTATATAGATAAGAAACTATCAGACAAGGTAGTTAGTTTTATTTTATCGTCACTCAATATGTTCTGGAACTACTTCAGCTACCATCGAACCACTATGATCAGGATTTGCTTCATTAAGATCATTTTTATGTTGATCACGCTTCAAATTTGCACGTTCACCACGAATAAAATTTTGTAAACTAATTTTGATGTTTTTTTTATCCCATTTAAGACGTCCAAACAATTTTTCACCAAAAGCTAAATTAAAAATAGTGTTCAACTTCATTTTTGAACGTCTCTTTCCATAACATACCATGTATAGCATCTATTTTATTTGTTGAAAATGCCCGGCCATGGAGTACCTTCAGTTAGTTCATCCAGACATACGTGTTGGAATAATTTTCGAGCTGTTACTGTTGGTGGTTTAGAAAGATTTACACAATACCTTAATAAACTTGGTGAAATGTTAAGCTTTTTTGCCTCATCATTGAAGTTAATATCAGAATTTACTTGTCGCTGAACCGCATCATACATTGAACATATCCATTCACAGACATTAATATCAGTTGGAATCACTACAACGAGTAGGAAGAAATAAATATTAGTAAAAAGAAATTAAATATGATGAAGAAACTTCATAACTCACATATCGATACATTCTGTAATTCATCATACTTTTTTTCCAATTCTAAGTAATTATTTTTCCATTTGTCACGATCTTCGGTTACTTTGTTCAACTGATGAGTTAAATCTGATAATGGATCTATTCGACCACTTTGTAAATTTGCAGTTGTGTTGCTAGTATTTGCATTTATCACTGATGGTGGTGATTTAGGCGAAGCAATAGTAATATCATTTGTTAATGTTAATGAAGCTGCAGCTAATGTTGTATTTTGATTATTTAATTGCAGTGAATTGCTTGCAGAATGTTTAGTTCTTGATGATGTTGAAGATTATGAGTAAGAATTGGATTTAATCTGAATATTATCAATAGAAATGCCAGAATCTGTTACTTCTGAAATATTTGCATTTCTATATTGGACAGATTTTTGTGTTGATTCTGTTAATGCCGTTGTTGTTACTAAGTGAGGATCATCATCGTCATCAACAGTATTGTCCAAATTTACATTTTCTTTATTATTACGTTGACCTTTAATAATATTCAACTCGTCCAAACACTGTTGCTTTG